TCCATCCATGGATAACTTTGTGCATATGTAAGCTGGCCAAGAGGGAAACACCCCTCACCATTGAATCAGTCATGTTACAAGAATATGATTACCAACAAATATGGTGCATATGGAGGTGAATTATCACCCCAACCCCAAAAATAAAATATATAATAAAAAGCAAAGGAAAATGGGCATCTAAAGGCCAAATTGTATATAATTTACCTGAATATCACCATGCAACTTCCAAGTACATGATGAATTTCCAGCTAATTGGATGCTTATTTCTGCTACTTTACATGCATCCTGCAACAATCCAGGACCTAACTATTATATGCTTCTCGTTTGCTGTCATAAACGTGGCAAGTGATTTAATTAAACTGAGATATGACTAACCTCTAACAATGAAGCTCCCCAACTAAATGCTCCTGAGTTTATGCATTCTTTTGACAGACCAAGCAGCCCAGAAGCAAGTCCATAGAGTGCAGACAGATTTTGTCGCGAGATCTTCAGTGCTTGCCGAAATTGCTCAATTCCCTTGATGAACAAAGACCACACAATCACACACAAAGGTCATGATTTCATAAAACATGCATGAGGACTAGTATAATAAAAGAGAATTACAACTGGTCAAATTGAACGGCTTAATTTCCATGAGCACCCCAACTTAATACCCCTACATCTGATGCAAGGAGATTGCACAGCATAATTTTCCAATATAGAGGTACATAAATGAATTCAATTAGACTGCATGAGATTTCATTAGACTCAGTAGTTGAACGACCGACTGAGCCAATCAATAAACTGAATTACATTCCTTAATTTCAGCTGAAAAAAAAAATATCAGCTGTCAAAGCATAATCTTCTAGACCTAACAATGAAACGTCTTCCAAATACTGTCTCACATGATGCCGCTGGATTAAATTTCACTCTATGCAATCACATGGATATAAGCTTAAAATCTCAACAGAGAGGGTTCAATGCTCATAATTGACATAAAATTAAAAAGAAAAGATATAAGGTGAATGACAAGGATAAATATAACCAAAAAAAAAAATTACCTTTCTAAACGAACCAAGCATCAAAAAGATGTTTCCACATTCAACCAGTGCAAAGACTCTTGTATCTTCCAATTCAACCGCACGCCCATAGGACTGTTATAAATTCCATAATAAGTTAATTGCTTAATGATTAGATAGGACTCATAAAGATTAATTTATGAAAGAATTCCTTGGAGTAGTCAGTTTGTTTTCATATGTGTTTTCCAATTTGGTTTCCCCAATTTAGGCGCAAGAAGTAGCAGCATTATCTGATAAGAGCATCCGTGTTTAAGGTCTAGTTGCCCCAATTTGGTGTTTGATATGTGAATCACATATTGAATAGCTTGAAAAGAGTATTTTGCTTGAACTGGAAACGGGGAAAGAAAAGGTCAGAATGAGTTTAAAAGATGAAAGGACAGTGGATTACCTTAATAGCGGCAGTAAACATGCCAAGACGGTGATAAGCAAGACCAAGCGCCTAGAAGACAATTGTTATTAGATAGAGAAAAGGGTAAGCAAAATCAAGAAGCATTTTGAAGACAGAATGGGTATAATCTATGATACGGAGAAGAGGGGAAGAAACTTACTTCCCACAAATCAGGAGAGGTAGGATAACCTCGAATAGCATGTTGAAGGCTTTGTACAGCTTCAGACCATTTCTTTTGATGCACCTGCTCCATTCAAGGAATGCAGATGCACAATAAGATGCAAAGGAAAAAAAGATTTTAAATCTTTCATAGGAAGAAAGAAAACCTGGAGAAAACCCAATCGGCGGAAAGCCCAGAAAGCCCTGGGAGAGTTGTGAGAAGCATCTTTGCAAATTGCAAGCTCCAAGGTCTCCTTTCCTTGTCGGTCCAACAAATCACACAAAGCTTCCTGCAATATTTACCAAGTCAGTATTCATATTTACTGTCAATCAAAGAAAACAGAAAGAGCTAGAAGAAGAAGAAAACGAACACACCCCAGCATCGGAATCATCAGGATGCAGGGATAGAGCTCTCTGGTAACACTTGATCGCTCTCTGGACATCAGCCGAAACAGTGGCGTAGTAATGGCCCAAGTACCTGAAGGCTGCTGCGTTGTTAGGGTTTTGTTTTGCGGAAATCACCCAATGCTCTGCCGCTTTCTCTTTCCCTGTGCCTGTCTCCCACAAGCATACTCCCTGAAATTCACATGTGCATTTTCACATATCCTTCACTACAACCAAAATTGTCAGAACAAACAGAAAATGAATCCATGATTTTTACAAGTTGAAAATGAAGGGAAGGGTCATCTGGATTGCTTTCCACCAACTCCTCCAGCCGCCTTATTTCTTCTTCCTCCTGAAAATCATCCATTCAAAGGATTAAACTCCATTAAGTAAAGATTT